CCTGCAAAATTGCAGACTTTTATCATCCTTTCAACTAAGTTGAAGGTATTAGATAAGGCTAAAAGATGAGAAACATGCAACTTTTATTGAGATGAACAAGTGAGAAAATACACACATAATCTCATAAATCACTAAAAAAAGATAATAAAAAAAGATGGGTTTGAAAAAGAGAATTAAAGCCAATCTGTGCCTTTGCGTTTGCAGTACTATGAAATTATCATAGAGTCACAGAATCCTTAGGGTTAGAAGGGACCTCCAGAGGTCATCTAGTCCAACCTCCCTACACACACAGGGTCACTTAGAGCATATGGCACAGGGCGGCATCCAAGCCGGTTTGGAAGATCTCCAGAGAAGGAGACTCCACAGCCTCTCTGGGCAGCCTGTCCCAGTGCTCTGTCACCCTCACTGTCAAGAAACGTTTCCTTAAGTTCCTGTGGAGCTTTTGGTGCCTCAGCTTGTGGCCATTTCCTCTAGTCCTATCACTGCCCACCACTGAAAAGAGGCCACCCCCCTCCTCCTCACTGCCTCCCTTGAGGTATTTATACACGCTGATCAGGTCCCCCCTCAGCCTCCTCTTCTCCAGGCTGAACAGGCCCAGCTCTCTCAGCCTTGTCTACTCAACATGACGAGAGATTTAGTTTTATGTAATTCCAGGCTGAGGGCAGCCCCCTCGCCCGGGCAGTGTGGTGTGCGTGGGGATGGCAGCACCGTGTGGATCCATCCACCTGACACCGATCCGGGATGCGCCCCAGTGAGTCCAGCAGCGCTCGAGGGCTCAGCACTGCAGCCGCAGGTGACGTTACCTGATGGCGCCACGTGCTGCCTAGCGGGGTTAAGGGCTTCACATGCTGCTCTTAGCAACGTTGAAGAAAAGTTGTTTTATTTACAAATTTTGGCTGAACTAGGAGCAGTTCTCCTGCTCTGTGAATGCAATCTGTGTTACATAACACTCCAGCAAAGAAAGCCCTTAAGAAAGAAAGCATTTTAAAAAAGGGTTTACTGTAGACTGACAGGCTTGTTCTTTAACATGAAATTCTGGCAAAAAAATCCCCTCAGAACAACCACATGCAGAAGACAACGTTTGTAATTTGCTCTGCCGGGCAGGAGTTAATATATTTTTATGATAACATTTAAGATGACCCCGATGCTCAGAAACCCATGAACTTTCTACAGCCAGGGGTGCTAGAAAATAAACTGAAATTCTGAAACGCTGTAGAGTCAAGCAGTACCCGCTTTCTTGGATTTAGAACCCTTTTTGTTACAGGTATTTAGGCATAGGATCACAGAATGGTTAAGGTTGGAAGGGACCTCTAGAGATCATCTAGTCCAACCCCCTTGCATGTAAATATACAGATTTCAGCAGAAATTAGGTAGCTAGATGCTTTATAAAACATCCTTTAGAGCCTCCTCTGAATCTTTTGATGCTAAAATAGCCTTAAAAATCAACTTTCCAGAGAGTTCTCAGAGTGATTTCATCTCCCCCAGGACTTTCCCTCTTACTTCTGGGTGCACTGGCTCATCTTGCCGGTTGGGACACGCAATAATGATCATGGTTGTTATGCCTGAAATATAACAATATGCATGGCAGGAGAACCTACAGTTCTGCTGTCACAGCCTGTTTGGCTGGAAGGGGAAAAAAAATCCCTTTGTGCCCCTTTGGAGGTCATGCTGTGAATGACTAACCACCTTTATAGAGGAGTTTATGGAGCTTAGCCAAGGCACTCGAAGTGCTTTAGGTCATATGTCCACATCATTAAATTTCAAATGGAGCCACACAGTAGATCTTCCCTTGCCCAGGAAATTTTCAGATCCTTTAAACTGTTCCAGTATAATTATTTTGATATATATATATACACACACACATACGCACACACACATACACTTCTTTTTTCCTTGTTAGCCTCCAAGGATGGGGGAAGAAGAGCATTTCTGAGAGGTCAGCATCTAGACATGCCTTTAAGGCAAGTGCCATGTTCTARTAAGTATAAGTGACAGTGAGCAGAAAATCGGCTAATCCTGGAAACCTTGAGCTGGCTCTCAAATAGCTGGCAGATCTGGCGGAGCACAGCCTGCGTTTGTGTGAGAAGAGTTGGATTCCATGCTCCGCTAGGGAGAACCTCCCTCTCTGCAGTTGGAAGGGGGCACACGTTGGATCGTGGAGCTGTGACAGGATGCACCTGAACCTCCACGGGCTCCAATGCCAWGGCTCCCCTTACCACGAAACGTGTATCTATATTGTAGGCGTCACATCTGCACAAATCATCTGTGCTCTCGTTACGATCAGTGGCATAAAGTAAAATATTTAAGAGTAATGGGAAGAATCCAGCTCAAAGGGTACCCTACGGCTACCCGCTCTGGTTTTGGAATGGCAGAGTCCCATTCCAYGTGCCGTTGATCACGTGGATACGTCTTAACCCACCTCAGTAGCAGGAAAGGAAGGCGGGGAAGCCCGTGCTGTAGAGAAGCGCCACACAGGCTACAGGCAGGCAGTTCAACAGCCGTCCTCCCTCCCTGCTTCCCCCGTGGAGGATCTGCGGCCTGGTCCGGGCTGCCTCCCCCGGGCAGGCCCGCGCAGGCCCTGTCGCCACTGGGCGCCGGTGGGCCCAGTGTCCGTCGCAGCCCCGGAGGTGCTCTGGTTACTGGTGTGGGCAGGTTGAAGGGCARCTCCTCCTGGACACAGACACGTGTGGGGAGGCGGCCCAGTCCAGAGGGCCCTTCCTGGTCTCAAACGCCAGGAACAGCCTTACCTGGATCCTTCCACAGGCCAATGAGGCTTCAAGTCACTCAAACAATACTTGGCTCAGCTTCCTCGGAGCGACAGATTAATACTGATCTACCTTCTTAACAGGGCTGTTTTCATGTGAACTACCGTTATTCCAAACATATATAAACCAATCTGAAAATACTGCTGTCAGCTACGTGGCGTTATAYGTTGCAATACAGACTCTTTGGAGGCCTCCGTTAATTCCACCGTTTAAATTGCCATTTTTTTTTTTTTTCTCAGCCCCAAATGGCCTCCACAAAGAGTGATTTGTCTTTACATGATTAGGGAACCAAACTGGACAGAGGGAGATGAGAACAGGTAAGCACAGAACCGCAGTTCAGACTTTTCCTAGTGGTCTGACCTGTCTCAAAGGGGCAGTTGCAATTGCCCCTTTTCTGTCACCCCCAAGGATTCGTCACCCCCATCCATAAATGAGCTGTAATTCCCATTGAGACAGAAGCCACCTTCACGTATATGAAAATACAGTATCCTGTATTTGTATTATTGTTGATAGCTCTTCCTATTGTTTATCTGTGGGAGCAACAGTAAGACACAAGATGAACACAAGTCTCATGACAGAATTTAAACACAAACATGGGATTCTGTATTTATCTGTAAGCCTGATTAACCACAATGAATTTCCAGTTAGCAGCTGAAAATTACTTTCCTGTTAATGCTCTTCCTTTGCCATGCTCCTTTGCTCCTTTTGAACAGTAATGGATCTCTTTTTTTATCCTTTTTTTTTTTTTTCTCCTTGTAGACAACACAGTAGGAATTTTGCTGCTTATTTAGGTCCATTACTTCAGTGGCCAAGCCATAAGAGCCTGCACTATTTTCAAAAATTACATTTTTTTGTTTAGATTCTAGGAGCTATAAAAAATTTTAAAATATCACTTCTTTGTTCTAGTCACAAACCTCACTTTCCCTTTCACAAATCCATTACAAAAACACTCATTAATGCACACCATAAACTGCAGCCTTCTTGTTAAAATGATGACCCAGGAAATATATTCTGGAGTTAATTTTTTATCACAGTTTTTTATTAAACATTTTTCTCAGTTTATACTTTGGACATAAATACATAAGTTTTATGGCTCACATTATAAAAGGCTAGTATTTATTAGAAAACATAYATGGAATATACTGTAATGCTTACATTTGTTCCCCTTTTCTCCTAATTTTTCCATAAATTCTATTAGTCTAGGAAAGCAGCATCAGAAAGCAAAATCCAGCCTACCTAGCAGCACAATCTACTGCAGCTATAAAGATTATTTGCCARCTGTAAAATAACTTTTGGTCTGTGTTTGTTTTCAGAGGAAGGGTAATGTCAGTTAGTGTTAGAAAACAAACACTGCATGTTGTGTTCAATTAGTTACCAGAAATCTAGTTCATGACCCTGTTTATTTCTATAACAAAGCATAGAGCTTCTCTTACTTTACAGCTTATATAGACATAGTGTTTATTTTCAAAATAGCATAATGTAAATAAGGGGCCCAGTTCTGTTCTAACGGAAGTCAGTGGCAAAACTGTGATGGGCTTTGTACTTGGTTTCTGCCATTTTATTACTAAAGGTGAACAAATCCATTTCAGCTGGAAGATAGGGTGAATTTCACTTATAAGTTTAAAACCAGCACGTGCCGTCACCGGCAGATCCTGTAACAATTCTGTGCATGGATTTCCAGTTGAATATGTGCTGGGCTTGGCCATAAAGACCCGTGAGAAGTAGACGTGATGAAAAATCCTTCAGCCCCCAAAGCAAGGAAAGGGAATTCCACAGCGAAGGTGCATGCAGACCCAAACCTGTAAGCTTTTCACTGTAATGAAGTAAAGGGATTTTAGATTTATATATGCTTTTTAAACAGAAAAACCTCTTCAGTATTTTTTCAATATACATACATTAAACTGTACAGCTTAGTACTTCCACACAGTGGGCAAAGAGCAACTCCCAGCGCCATAGCTATGGAAGAGCATAGAAAATGCAACTCTCCTTGACCCCTCAAGGCCAGGCAAGATCAAGCACTAGGCCAGGATGAAGAGGAAAGGTTGAGAATATGTTGTTAGCAGGCTGCTCTGGAGGCAGAGTATATAATTATTTTTTTTATATAATAATTTTTTTTTTTTTTTTTTTGCACCAGAACTTATACTAACACGCAACCAATGATGGCAACACCCTGCTGAAGTTGTGAGATAGAGAGAAGAGCAGAATTAAAGCACAAAGCAGTAATGAAGACCCTTAACCTACAATCCAATCAGTCCAATCCATAACAGAAGTCCTTCACTGAAATCCAGGCTGTCTTGTATGGGTCAAGAATCCTCCTGTTCAGATCTGGACGCAGCCCAAACTCTGAACAAATTAATCTGATTAATTTGCAGTCTCTAGTACAGTTTAYCGTGAAATGTGACATGCTGGGAAACATGGTGCTTATGGATAATGTTGATTCAAAGTAGACATATTGAAACAAAACATGGTGAAATCAAGGCATTCATATTAGAAATCAGAAACATAATTTGAGCGTATTCCCCTCCCTTACTGCAATAGAGTTGGAATGTGATCAAAAATTACACTTAATTCTAATCAATGCAAACACCTGACATCTGCTCATATATAGGATATATGTCATTTATATTTTACTGAACTGATCATTGGTATTAGAGATCTTAACATATGCAAATGAAAGTTAACAGTCCTAAATTTTTGTTATCTTTCAGTCTATTGAAGGAAGGAAGACAACATCCATGGTGAATCTACTCAACCTGCTATTTGAATGAAATATGTATTTGGATTGGCAAATGTCCAACTTCACCATTTTCAGTAATGTTTGAGCTGAAAGCTTTGCCCAATATTTCAYGTCCCCAGAGACAGAAAAACCCTAGCCCAAACCACAATTTAGTACCACCAGATTCAAAGCTCCTTTCAGGAATGTGTTCATTCATTAAGAAAGGCTGATCAGGGTGCTACTTTGAATTCAGCCCTCTACCACATCGCCCCACTGAGTGAAAAGTGCAAGAAGGAACTGTGCTYGGTATTTGCACAAAGTCCACTTACAAGATGATATTGCTCTGAGTTTTGGAGTGAAAAGAGGTGACCGCTGCTCAGGCACAACCACATCCCTGCCGCATGAAGTCGGCACCAAGTCTCCATCCTGGGTGCACCCTCCATGGGCAGACAGAGGTGTCAGTAGCACTAGAATAGGCAGCTGCTCTACAGCTGTGTTTTCTACTTAGCCTAWGCCTCCTAGAGGTCTATCTGGACTGCAAGGCTGAGTCACTGACACATTGCACCTACCAAAAGAAAAAATTAATGCACTTTTCAGCCTGCAAAAATTTTCAATAACACTGAGCATTAGAAATAAAACATCTATTTTCTATGTCAAAATATACAATTATCAATCAGTTACTAGAACTGGATTTGAATTTTGTCTGTCCTGACCAAACTCGGACCTGTAGAGTTATGTTATGAACTATTATAGAGATTATCAAATTACTATTAGCTTGTATTAGAATATTTGTTGTTTAAAAATATTTGCTAATTTGTTAAAATCTACAGTCCATGCAATATATCACTTTGGAAAAAGAAGCAGCTGATTTACATAAGCAAAACCCAGCATGCAACATGGCATGTGTTCCTTGCCTTCCCTAAGTGCTATAGAACATAATGATGATATTTATAAATGAGCATATAAATAAGATAGAGATTCTAAAACCACTTAAAAGGGTCTAACAAATCCTTTATGTTTTAAGTAGCCCAGACAGGGTCAACAGCTAAATGTTTTCCAATAATCTAATACTGAAGAATGTTCTAAATATAAGAAAACTGTCTTGCAGCTTTTAATTGTGTGATTAAACACTAGTTAATTCACTCCCATGTGTAAAGTCTACCAGGTTGTGACCTAATCTGGCATTTGCTGTAAAAAGATATCATCCTTTTTTAAGGTGAGAAAGTACCTTGGATTTAATTCACTTAGATATTTACTAGTGGGATTTGCCAAACCATCACTGAAGACACTAGTTCATCTTGTCGCTGCTGCTTTGTCTTCTTGTTCACCCTTCTGTGTCCTTGACCACCAGAAATGACCAATACTGAACTTGCCCTCATTTTCCTGGATCTCTGTCTTTTACTTTTAAGTGAGACACTTTGATCCTTCAAAAGCTCGTAAATGTTGCTGTCCTCTGGTCTGTGTTCCTGGGAACTCGATCCGTGAGACAACGTCAGGGATCCAGAAGAGGAAGACAAGTCACTTTTTTGTGTAATGGATCCTGCAGAGCTTCCCAGCCAAATGGCAGCGTCGTGGCTGCTGCCAAGGGCAGAACTTGGTCTCTCGTTGTGCAGAACGGACTTTTGCTCATCCTCTTTGGACTCGGAGCTAGGAGGCCGACTGCTCCTCGACTTGTTCTTGTTTCTCTTGTTCACACCTGCAGCCATTACAAGAAACTTGACCGGGCCATTATGTGCATGATACGACACCATTCCTCTTCCTGGAGAGGGGGAAAGGGACAAGTACAAAACATTAAGGGGGCTTGTTTTGTTTTAAACCAAAGAGCCCCTGCACAATTAGTTCCAAAAATTCATAGGTCTTAAAACCATTCTGTATGCATTCATTCTGGTTTTAGCCCTGTGAGTACAAAATTTACAGGAAAAAAAGAAGTAATAAATAAAATATACCATAAAAGCATTTTAGGACTATATCAATATCAGTTAAAACAGGACCCTCTGCGTTCAAGTTGACTCACTTTTGTGCTGTGTTTTCACAACAGCACGAATACAGAAACTCTTCACTATCTTCTTTTTATTGGCACTGTCACAAGCATAACATTGCAAGTTTTCTCCAATAATCCACAAACAAAGTATCTGTTTTTCAATTATATCTATCATACCTTTCCAGAGGAGCATGAAAATATCTATTTCATTGTAACAAAATTTTCCACACTGTAAAGCAGGAATTAAACCTCATCCTTATAAATGGTTGTCTAGTTATCATGGGAGATTCATAAGGAAATGAGTAACTGCAATTTCCATTTTTACAGAATGGAAAAAGTGGGACGTTGCAGCTATAGGGAAGTGTTATACTGTGTAAATGGTAAGAAATGTATGAGAAACTCATTGCTTGGGGCCAAGTTCAGAAACTATGACATTGTATGTGCTTTTTACAGCAAAAAGAAGAAAAAAAGTAGCAGTCTTTCAAATAAGCTATAATATGAAAAAGAGTGAGGCTATTGAGAGAAAAATCCATTCCAAATTTCTTAATATATTCTAGTTTGTGATAAAAATTGCTAACAGAAAGTACAATGATATAAAGACAATTTATCACTATTAGAAGTACAAATTTCTCAGTTCAAATTTCAGTGATTTTTCAGTTCAAATTACAAATGCTTGAGAATTATGAAGACAGGTCTCCAAATGTAATGCTGCTGAATTTGACAGATCTTGATCCAAAATAAATGTTAGGAACATACAGGGCAGATAAACAACAATAACCAAATCAGAAGACATTTTGCTCGTGCAACCATACATTTTCTTATATCTATTTGAACAGATTTTTCCTGACACAGGTTCCACAGATTCCCTGCTCTTTCAGGAACATTTACCCATTGTCATAGTGGACTATTGCCAAGTATTTTGCTGAAAACAGCAGATTTAGTTTTCATTTTGGCAAAGTCACTTCTTATTTCTTTTCTTTCCTGAAGGAAGTTACAGACTGGTTGCCTTATAAAATCTGCCAGCTTCTCTGCAGCTCTGGCAGAGCTCGAAGCCCAAAATGTCGCTTGGCAAAGGTCCCATTAAACACACTTTTAAAAACTTGCTTCTGTTGGTAGTTAAAACACTTGCAAAATGATCCAGCAGCATTTGGGTGTTTGCGTTTGAAATGGTGTAATGTGAAAATAACCCTCATCTCTTCAAAATGCAAAAATATTGATTGTTGTCAAAAAACCCCTGAAATACACACTGTCATATAGTCCAGGTCCACAGTTTTGAGGAGAAAGGGCACAAAATCAACCTACTGAATAAACAGAGAATATGCAGAATTTTCAGTGCTTACATCTCCTAATGCATATATTCTCCCCCAGTCCGAAGAAAGACTTTTTGGACTTTCTCCCCATCCTCACACATTAGACTCTCCTCTGGCAGGACCCAGGTCTATGCTATTTTCTGCTCCCTAAAGAATAACCATTGTTCCGCATCACACAACTGGGGCAAAACCAGACAAGTGTCTGGACACAGTGTAGCCCTAAGGATCAACAAAAAATTAAAATTCCACTGCAAGACTGCGACATGTATCTGAACAACACGTATGATTTTGTTGATTCCCTTATGCTACTGGAAGAATTAAAAGACAGAATTAACAGCACAAATTTGCCATTCTACGCAATGCCCCGGAGACACTCGACTCACCCGTGACTTTGGGGATGCCCTGCAGGCGAGGCACTGGCAAGGCCACGATGATACCCAGGTTGGTTCCGATGAGCAGCAAACCGTGGCACACCAGGAGGCTGGTCACAGAAACCCGCTGCTGCCCTGGGGAGATTTGCAAGAGCCGCATTACTTTGGAGTGGCTGTTTCTGCTTAGATCAGAGCAGCCTCTGGCCAAAGCATTGAGCTGCCCATGGTTCTGCTGGCAGCATCATTCAGCAAAACACTTAGAAGAAACACAAACGCGCTGCTCGATTGCAGTACTAAACTCTTGCATGGAAACTTAAACTTGCAYGGAAGTGTAAATACTACTAAACTTCTGGGTTAATTTGCTCTGAGATCGCTAGACCACGGTATCTAAAACTGAACACAGATTATCTATAYAAATACACTTTTACAAATAGATTAAGATGTGCATATTCTCAACAATAACACTGAAAGACATTTCATTTCATGATATTCATTAGTATATTATAACAACACACTGTGACCGAGAGTCAAACTTGTTCAAAGTGRCTTTTCTCAGTGGACAAGTTAAGAGGAAACAGGAGAAGCTCCTTCTGCAGGAGGTTGGTCTGGAACAGGTTGTTCACAGAGGCTGTGGAACCTCTGCTGTTGAAAATATTCAAAATTTGGCTGGACAAGTCCCCTGAGCAACCTGATCTACTTGGGTCTGCTTCAGGCAGAAGGGAGGACGGGATGATGTCCAGAAGACCTTCCCAAACAAAATTATTCTACGATTATATCATTTTCTGCAAGTTATGGGATTGCTGTTTTCCTTATGGCAAACAAAGTCATCTTTGCTTACAGTAGAAGATTAAAAATGTTTTTTCAAAGTTTATAATTTTGGCACAATTGATAATTGACAAATTTCAAAACTTGAGAAGCTTGGGAAATAGAAAAGGAAACTACTTTGGAAGTCCAAACTTCCACCATGACTCAGAGGTTTATGTGGATAGGTATTTGAACTCTTGCTGAAGCCCTCCATGCCCAAACACTGCATGTTCTTGGGAGTACTGGAATTACTTTGACATGCTACGCTAGCACTGATTTCCATCCTTATTACAACAATCAAGTTGTTAATCACCTCATCAGCAAGCAGGGAATGAGGATTCCACACACCGTGCAGGAACCCACGTGCGCTCCACGCTTTGGGAAAGCCCCTCACTTGCAGCACAGCAGYAGCGAGCACATTCTCCATCTCTCCCCTTGATGCTGAGCCAACTTTCAGCCAAGAACACATGAATCACAGACCCCATGGGAAAGCAGGGAAGGAGCCGCCAGGCTGCGGCCCAAAGGCTGAAGCACTCAACCAAAAAGCAGCAGGTAGTCCAGAGTTCAAGCCTTTCCACAAAACCAAAATACTCCTCTAGCAGTRGTCTAGGCAATGGTGTGCACAGGCTCCAGAGCTGGGTCTGCAGCACCAGTTCTGTCTGTTCTCAACATACCCTAAAGGCAGGATGCTTAGGTCACTCTCCCTGCAGATGTAATAAGTTTGAATAAGTTAAACAGGCTCCATTTACTCCTACAGGTCATCCGAGACAGCAACATTTTTTCAATTAGCTGTGAGGGTATCTCTGCTGGTAAGATTGCATGAGCCTCCTACAGATGGTCTGTATCCACCGATAAATCACAAGCCTTTTAAAGTCTGATTTTTTTAGATGTGGAATTTAGTTTGCAGAACGAAGCATACAGAAGAGCTCCTTCAGCACTGGCGAGGGGGACAGCCCTTTGGGGGAACTGAAGATTGGACATCCTGCTGTAGTCTGATGATAGAAAGCAGGAAGATGACCAAAGCTATTATTTTTTCTTTAAAGCATCAGATCCCAGAGTGAGGACACAGATGGTAGCCCTAATTTACATTCAAGAGTCCAAAAAGCCATGAAAAAATCGCACATTAAAAACTGCTTGTKYTGTTTCCAATACAGTGCACATAATGCAGAGTATTAGCCTCCTCAGCCATCTGCTACTGTGGACTTTTCCAAYATCATTAYAGTATTTCAAACAGAGTTYCAATCCAGATTTCCAAACGCCTCTCTGCATACAGGAGTTTTCAAAAATCAAGATCTGAATTTTGCCATTTAGAGCATGTCAAATAATCCTGACGTAGTAACATTTCTCCCACAACCTGGGCCACAGCAAAGGCAAAGTAAGTGCAAAGTATTGACTTAATTTTATTCCATTTCATTGCAAGCTTTTTTGCAACACACAAGAAAAAATCTGCAAGTATAATTTTTTTTAATTGTCAAAATTTTCATTTTTACATTTGCCTGCCTAATAATTTTCAACAGCAAGATGCTTACATTTTAAAATAATAAATCTTTATTGCTTTGCATATATTTTTTAGTGTAAGATAATATGCACGCTTTCATATACCAACCCCGAAGCAAACTCTAAGTGGAAAATTGCATTATTGTTTCAAATTATCAGCCAGAAACTCAGAATCCCAAGTACAGAGGACAATCTATGTGCGAACTATCTGTAGTGAGGTCAAAAGGAAAACTGCTTGCTTTCCAATCTTGGGAAAGCAGGAAACATCTGCAACTGAAAGCACATTTTGAAACAGCATCTAATARCTAAAAAATGATAAACAGATAAAAGCCTCTCTTAAAAATAACAATTATCTRCTAGCCATGATTAGAAATCTTACTTTTTCTTTTGATTTTTCACTTCAGAGAAAAAATGAAAAACCAACTCATCACGCAGCAAGCACTGGAAAAAATATCAGTACTTAAGGTTGTGGCAAAATGATAAAAATGTCAAAGAACAATAAAATATTCTTATTTTTAAATGAAAACTTCCAGAACACACTTCACTGACGTAATGATTATATTTTTAAACTTGTAAAACAATCTAACCAAGATCTCAACTCTACCAAGAACCGAAGCCAACGATTATGTTTATACACGGAAAAATATTTTTTTGCCAACGTTTCTACTCTGTGTTCATCCTTCTCAGCCTTAACTTCTGACACRGGCCACCAGGAGGATCTATGTAAATGCTTTTGTGTTCACATGCAAATCTTCTGAATTCAGCCCTAGGTAAGTGGTTAGGTGTAATAAACTGGCCTGTATTCTCTGATCCTGCTGTCATTATTACGTACATAAAACATTGTTTAAAAGAGCCAACTGTACAAATTTATAGAGGTCACCTAAACTTTTCCCCATCTTTTTTATCATCTCATAGCAGCAAAATCAAAGTGCAACTGTGTTTTATGGGGTGGCAGCTGGTGTAATGTTCAAAAGATATTTTGCTTTCTGCTGAGAGGAAATGATATATTTTTACTTTGCTTTTCTCATCTGTTTCCAGGAAACACACACATACCATAGGAGGATATATGGATATATACAYAGAATACAGCAATAAAAACAAGGATCTTTGTTAAAACACATAACCTGTCATCATCCATAGGACCAAAGGAATTACATATATCAAGGTCATAATCCCTTTAAAAGGACAACTCTTTTATAGCTGAAAGGAAAAATATATTTAAGGGTATTTTTTTAATAATGAAATATTCATATGAGTGTGACTATGACAAAACAAGATTATTAGTAACACAGTGGATTCTGTACCCTGGTTTACTGTGATGTTTTCACTCATCAGGCCCTGAGAGCTGTGACAAAGGCTGCTGCAAAGCTGCCCTTGCTGAGATTTGAACTACAGATCACAAATGCTGAAAATAACGCAGTGCATCAGCACCAGTGAGGCACTCGCACTGTGCTGCATCCGTGAGGTGCCATCAAATGTGAACAGATTCTTCCCTCTGCTCACTGTGTCCCCTGTCCAGAGAGCAGAGAGCTGCTTGAGCCACTGAAAAACAACCTGGCTCTGTTGTGTTAGTGAAGTAAAGAGCAGCCAATGGAGCCAATATTACACCAATATTACAGTTGCTTCTACTTAAAGCTTGGCAAAAGCAGACCAACTTCTTGGAAATTTCATCATGATCTTGCACTACCTTCTTTCCTCTTGTTAATGGATCTTCTCAAGACCCCTGGCAATATTTTTACATCAATTTCTTCCCTTCTGAGTTCAATACAGCATGATTTTTTACTTTTCTTGCTCTTCTTTTCACATGTTAAGAAATGCCTGCAAAAAACTAAGAGTGGCTTCATTTAAAATGGAAAGATCTTCTGTAGCACATGCAACACTTCTAAATATTGGTCACTGAGTCTCTAAAAATCCTCACATTTTTCAAATATGGAGCCATTTTGTTGCTAAAAATCCTCACATTGCTTAAATATGGAGCCATATCTGTTTTTTTAAAATTTTCTTCTTCTTAAATCTCAGTGTATACTATATAGTTTGTCCTATTGCTGCTTTTTGTTCCAAAATGCTCTTATAAGCCTGTTTTTTTCTAATGTAAGCCTCCTACTCCTCTTTTAGCCTTTATGATTGTTGCAGCATTATTGCCATAGAGATAATAGAATAGATAGAATAAAGACAATAGAAATAGGTCCAAGAGCTGCCACTAAATAATTTACATTCATTTCATTTTTATAATGGATTCTTCCTCTGGAATATTTGCTGTAATGATGCTCTGCTCCTGAAACAAGTTTCCATTCACTGAGGCACTTTTGTAGAGTGAAAGAAAACACCAAAAACAACAAAAATCAAAACAAACAAGAAACACATCCCAAGAAACTTAAATTGACAAGAATGACACCAAAGGGAAATAATCAACTAGAACTCTCAAAAAACAAAAAAAAAAAAAAAAAGAAAAAGAAAAAGGAAAAAGATAATCTAATACATCAACAGTTTTATTACTACATTAATGCAGAAAATCATGTATAAGGGAAGTCCTACTTTCTACAAACAGCAGAAAGTAATGAAAGTTAATCTTWTTATACTAATCTTCATTTTTTTTGCATAACTGGGATAAACATAAAATGACCTACTTAAAGGCAGGACATTTGCTGCTGCTCAGTGTTGGAGCTACATTCAAACAGCAAGTGCAAAAAGTGCCCTGTATAGAACTATGCAAAAACAAATAGACACAATTTAAAACAGAGCTTTCCTGCAAAGCTGATATGGTCTGAGAGAAAACAGGGTAAGAAGATAAAGACTGAAGAAGCATTTAATGTAAGAAAATGAACATAATTTTAGTGATGGAAGAACTGACTTCTGCTAAAAGCAACACAATAGAGCTGCCATGTACAGCAACACCTGCAGTGCCTGGGTGCACTGCACTTAAAGCACGCGTACTGTGTAGGTCGTAAGAATCTCCAATCAGTTAGTTCATTTATGTATCTACAACAAACACCTGAAATCTATAGAGAGATAAAGACAGCCCTGTTGTCCTCTCATAGACAGCTTGCACTGTGGAGCTGGTCCCCTTTTCCTGTCTGCTTCTTTTCCTAGCATTACSACCGGGTACTCGCTCACTCTGGGGGGCAGGCAAAGACTGACAGAAGTGGTTTTATTTCACTTAGGAAGGTACCTGATTAACCCACAGAGTCTCTAGCTACTCACTAGCAAAACTGATACAGGCTGATACCCACTGTCTATGACACTGATGGTTTGGGGATGGCTGAACAGCTTCTGAATTAACACTCTTAAAGATCTGTTGTTTACCCTGACAACCACGGATTTCATCTTTATTTACGAGACTAACTATACAAATGACAGTTCCCATCAGTAAAGCACCAAACGCTCCTGAATGGAAGCATGTGAGAAGTTCAACTGGGGCTACTGAAATAATTGAAGTTAAGCAAGTGTTTTGTTGGTTTGGATCCTGGGCAATTGACTCCTTCGTGTACTTTGATACCGAGTTCAGGAAGCAAATGCTAAAACTGGCAAAGCAAATGTTTTYCTGATAAACTGCATTGCCCTATTCTTTTAGGATTACAAAAATGAGCAGACACAGCAGGAGAATCCACCTGCTCATCTAGGCATAGTTACATTCCTGACCTSTAACGAGGGGAGCTGTTCATTACACACATGGGTCTTTTCAGCAGGCAAGACTGCAGTTTGCCAAAACAAAGAGTTGCGAGATAGTCATCGGCCTCGAGGTCCAAAACAAATGTTCTGGCTCTGGCCTACCTCGACAACACTCTGGAGAGCAGCTGTGATAGAGACCAAACAAAACAGTTATCATGCGATGTGCTTCAGTCACCTGGCAACATATTGTGAACAGGGGTGGCAATGTTGATGTCCTGGAGGTGTTTCAGGGTCTCCGTGTGGAACAGGCGAAGGGTGGATCCAGATGTGAAGGCGATCCAGATGCCCACGCCAGCAACAGCCATATGAGACACGACCATCCCTTCTTCCTGATGCGCCTCAAACTGGCTCTGCAAGAAAAACAAGGAMTCTCTGAGAACAGGCAATTGAACTGCAAAATCCAGCTTTCCTTATCAACTCTTTAGTGTTGGCACTTTATCCTTGCTCTCCACGTCAAATACTAGCTAGCATTTTTTAAGTTGTTCTTGATAGGTCTTGGCTGTTGTACATGATGTGTAATTGTCCTTTTTTTATATACATATATATGCATTATTGCTAATATAGAAGGATCCTTAGCTTGGGAGCAAAGGTTACAATTTGGGACTCACTAGCTTCACAGGAACTTACATGGTGTATTTATAAAACATTTGCATGATGAAAACTGGCAACCTGTACTGGCTGAGACTTAAAGGAATTTTATATTTCTTTATTGATACTCCTCTGGGGAAACTAATGCATACAAGTAGCCTGGGAGTGGGCAGATTTTTCTAATATGTTGATTTAATCAGCAGCACAAATGTTCCAAAAATACTAAAGACACTACAGATTTTTTTCCCCTGTAGTTTGTATTAGGGGTCATTTCAGAACAACAATAACAAAATCAAGGCAACAGTCACCSTTTGAAAGCAAATTGTTTATGAATATATTATATATATACACGCATTATTTTTTGCTCAGCTACATACAGAATCATCTGCGTCCTAATATTGTGGCTTGTTTTTTGACATTTGGCATTTCCAGATTTCATAATTATTAGTTATTTCATAGCCTTGCCCTTCAAAACATAGATGGTATTTATTTGAAATGCCAAAATCCACCTTCTGAAGATGTGGAACAATTCAAGAGTTTAAGGACAGACTTTTTCCCTTGGTCAAGGGCCTTCACARTTGCAAGTTCTGCAGGACTCCAGGAAAGCTGAAACCTCTCTCACTCTGCCCATGTTAAAAGTGCAATAGAAAGCTGTACTAAAGGTTTAATAATTAACATGAGTAGCGAAGGGTTTTTGGTCGCTCCCTCCCTCCCATTTTGTAAATAAACTGCCTCTGAAGTGAAACACAGCCCTTTCAAGTCATGCCAGCTATTATTATATATAGGCAGCTATTCCGATAAACATAAAAATTCCTTGGCTAACCCAATCACAGACTGTTCTTTGGAGGCCTATCCTCCCCYGAGGGATACAGAAGTAAGTAGGTGCTCTATTATCCACAACACTTATTATATACTTTTAACTATATTTGCTCATAAAATGCAAAAAGTTTCCATTCCTCCTTGTTAAAAGCACYCTTATATTTTATGTGTATTACAGTTACAGTTACATTTTCGTCAATTTGCATCCAAACCTCAATCACGTATTTGCATGGCCCACTGACTAAGCAATCTTCTTAATCCAAGACAATTATCCATTGAAAATTACATGGGACAATAGATAATAGTTTCATTTCTGCACCTAAATGTAGTAAACACATTATGATCATTGATAAAGGACAGAACTTTTAAGACTGTAGAGACTGCAAGTTTTGATATTTGAGGCAATTTTTTCCCCGTTTTATTACCCAGCACTTCAAAATACTATACAAATTGGTTCTTTCACTGACAAGATGGCTGTTTAAAAATAAGGGAGAGACTTATATATATGTATATATTTATATATATATATTTATTTTTTATATATATATATATTGGTGTGTGTGTGTATAGATATATATATACAGACGCAAACAGGACTTTCAGAATGATAACCCTTGCTTACAGAATCATGCATGATGCTCCTCTGATGCCCAACTGTGTTTTAAAACCTTTATGGGGACTGTTCTACGGCGTCTATGGTCAAGGCTAGCAGCTGATAGCATCTGGAATTAGAATTCAGCCATCTTAAAAAGTAATTTTCTCWGTTGTATTCTGAACATACCAGAGATGACAAGTCTGTCAGTGCAACTGTAAACAACTTGCACAAACATTTTTGCCACATTCTGTATTTATCAGCTAACTCATTACACTCCCACTCTGTCTGTCCCGTAGTTTGTACAGCTGCCTGTTGAAATATTCTGAGACATTTAAAGAAAAGRCAATCTTCTCAGCACCACAAGAAGCATTTAAAAAGAACTATTTGTCTTCAGAGGGTTTTCTAACACAAATGTTCCCCAAATTGGGGCATTCTTCTGCAAACACACAATTGCTGTATTGAGGATGGCTTTGACCTCTATTTCAACTACAATTCTATATGAATTCTGATAGCTGCCTTTTTTATTCAAACTATTTTTTTCCTCTTGTAACAAAAAAAAATGCAGACACAAAGGGACAAAAACATATTATTCCTTGTTATTAAAAAAAAAATCTCAAGTTCGTTTTGAATTTCTTCTTTGGTTTTCATAACTACGTTCCTCTCCGTCTTCTCAGTCTGGCTTCTCTCCCTGTGTCCCTGCAGTTTCAGTGGGATGTTGGGGAGCTGCGGGCTGGGTTGATGGGAGCCGCAGGCCGGGTTGATGGGAGTTGCAGGCCGGGTTGATGGGAGCCGCAGGCCGGGTTGGTGGGAGCCGCAGGCCGGGTTGGTGGGAGCCACAGGACGGGCTGGCAGGGCCTGAGGGCCAGGTTGGCCTGTGGGCCGAGCTGGCAGGAGCCATAGGCCGGGTTGGTGAGGCCTGCGGGCCAGGTTGGGTGGGAGTCACAGGCCGGGTTGGTTAGGCCTGTGGGCTGGTCTGCCGGGGCCTGCAGGCCAGGTTGGGTGGGAGCCACAGGCCGGCTTGGCAGGAGTCGCAGGCCGGGTTGGTTAAGCCTACGGGCCGGCTTGGCAGTGGCTGCTACTCACCCGGCTCTGATCCCAGGCCCAAGCAGCCTTGCCAAGGAGCGCACCAGGATTTCTCAGGCTCTCCGAGAGGTGCATAATGGGCATCATTGTGCACCCCTAAAGCAAATGACATTTATTGCTTTGTAGAGGGTACAGTGCTTGGGAAACGTACCCTTAAAGAATGAGGAATTCTATTTATTTAGCCAAATATTTCAGCTTGCTCTACTTAAACTGTTAACAACAAAGTAACTCAGCATCAACTCAAAGTATTTTGCCAACTTTTAAAAACAAGACCAAGAGGATGAGACACTATCCACTTGGTGGCTTTTTATTTTGTTAAAGATTCGGGGATCTGGTTTTATTTTTAAACACACACAGATTGCCTTTCCTGAGCCTAAGGGCCTGCATGCACAGAGACTGCTGCAGGAGCCATCCCTTCACCAACAGCAACACAACAAGTACCCAACCTAGGGTCAGGATTCAGGAGAAACTCCTTATTCATAGAAAAGAGTATTGGAATATGTCACTGATGTATAATAGCGAGTGATGCACCTCTCCTGTGTCCCTTGCCAAGGAGCTGGGGGCACGGGGCCAATCTGGGGCACTATGCCAGTAAAAAGCCATTTCCTAAAACATTCTGACAGTAACATATCATTAAAACAAATGAATYGAGAGTCAAAAGGGAAAGATGGGAAAAGTCCCAAAGCAGCATAAAGGATGCTAAACCTGTTCATTTACCAACAGTATTTTTTTAAAAGGCTTATCTGAGAGTATTAGAAAAGCAGGGCGATCTGGAATGAGACTGTTTTTGGAGGACGATGCACTCTGCACCTTGCAAAACCACTAGCTAATATGAGACCTGTAAAGCAGGGAGGGCAACACTGGGAATACACTCAGAAAGTGCTTTTGATTATGTTCCTGGCTGGCACAAATATGACTTTAAAGGCCATTCAGCTGCCCTTGTATCTAAGTTGCATGATACAAAGCATACAAAACACATGCACAATAGTAAAAAGTGAGGAGGAAAGGAAAAAAAGCAGCTGTAATTTGAATATGGACAAAAAAAGGAGCTCTACAAAAAACAAATGGTAAGAGATGAGTCCTGAGCAACAACTGGATTCCTGTTGAAATGGTAAAGAAGAAAATTATGCCTTTTTTTTTTTTTTTTTTGAGTCAGTGAATCCATCTCTATAAAAGAGGGCGCAGAGGTAGAATAAACATTCTTCCCTTTCCTGCTGTTTCCCTGTCTATAGCAAAGCGTCTGCTCGGCACAGCAGGAAGATGCAGCTCACATTCACTTGATTGCTAATATTAAAATATTCCCCACAGAAAGAACCTAATTCTTTGTACAGGATACAATTTTGAAACAATATTGCCAAGAAATGTCATATGTACATCCTGGGAGATCACATCTGTAAATATTAAACAAGGAAATTATCAAAACAAGTCAGGTAACTGAGCAGTCAGCATAAAGGAGTTGCCAGTAAGATGCTCAGTCAGGTGAGATGATGAAAACGGATCAGCACTGGCTTCTGCCCTAGGACCAATAAAAAGGCAACAGAAAATGTTCATTTGCAATTCCATGAGGAATATGATATGCTATGGCATGGATACTTGTGTGGAAAAGGAAAAGATGACTGACAGTCATCTGATAATCAAGTTCTTCAACAGAATTATCTGTGCYGAAAAAAAGTTACCACTTAAAATTGCACTGTTTCTAATATGTTGTTTGCTGCAATATTCATTGTCAGCCTATATATACAGCTATAAAATACAGTGAATCTRTAACAATCTGAAGCCTGAATTACAATGGAGAGGCCATTTTAAAAAGCACCACGAGAACGAAAAGAAACATCTTGTGATGTTTTGGGGGGAACACTTCAAGCAACAGATGAAAAATTAAATTACTGTGTCCAAACGATATCGGCAGAGCATTTGCTATTTTGTCTCTTTGAACTTTTGTTTTCAAAATCGCAGTCCACAGTTCTGTGTTTTACTTTGGCTGAGTTAGCTTGCTACATTCTCTAATCCTTAAAGCTTGTCTAATCCTGGTTTTGTTCAGCTGTGCCAAAATAGCACAGCATAATCCAAATTGCAATGACACCCTCTAATCTAGAAGGAACTCTGTGATAGAATGAGGTCAAAATTACCAAACTAATTAATAAAGAGGTCTGGGTTTATATAATCAAACTCACGTAGGAGCGATTAGACTGTGATTATTTCTGTTGCTATGTATTTCTCAGTAAGAATCAAAGAGGTTGATGATAAACATCTGAGACAGTAATTCCAAGTGTCCCAAAGGTTACCTTCATCAAGCTAACAGAAAGTTCACCCATTCAAATCAGTTCTCCAAAATCTTTCCCTCATGATCCAACCTATTGATAAATTAAGGCATTACAGAAAAAAAATAAAAAAGAAGGAAAACATCAGAGCTTCTGCTCAGATGAAGCAAGTCACCAAAAAGCACAGCTAAAGACAGAGGAAATTATGACATTCATTATTTCCCTGCAAACCCATGACACTGACTCACAGAATCGACTGTACCAAGGAGACAATTGTTGGGAGACAACAGGATCATCAATGAAACAAAAAGCCAGTAACAAAGCACMCAAAGGAGGGGGCTGTGATCTCATCAGGGAATCCTGTTTGAAAGAATTTCATGGCTGTAAACATCATGGAACTCAATCTGATTGGGTTGTAGGCTGAAGGAGAGGCTTTAATCCCTAGTGCTTCATGAACTCTGTTCAGGCCACTAAATCACCACTTTGGTGGATTTGCTGGATTGGTGCAATTTTAAAGGAAACATGGGCTTAATGCTGTTTGTAGCAAATGCAGTCATAAATATGAGTTTGAATCCTTGACGTTCTTCCAGGAAAGCTCACTTTTGCATGATTACTCATGTCCTTACGCAAATGAAATGTGTGTGCTCCACTGAGAAGCAGAAGTGATCAAAAATATGTTAAGAAATCATCACAAGGTGGAAATCACACCTGTGAGTGTAATATACGCACGTTAGATGTGCTCRCAAAGATGCCAAATCTTTTAACTTAACTTGTTCTGGAATTAACAGACAATTCAGAAAATTCCTTTAGGAACTTACTTATTTGCTGTGTCTCCTTCAATCTCATTTTAAGCAAACCTATTCAAGAGCAAGTGCAAGGTCCTGCACTTGGGGACGAATATCCCCGCATACATCAGTATAGGCTGGGGACCGACTTCTGGAGAGCAGCTCTGCAGAGAGGGACCTGGGTGTCATTGTGGACAAGTTAACCACGAGTCAGCATTTTTCCCCTCGTGGCCAAGAAGGCCAATGGGTGGCGGCCACTGACAGAACTAGAGGAAATGGCCACAAATTGAAGCACCAGAAGTTCCACAGGAACTTAAGGAAAAATTTCTTGACAGTGAGGGTAACAGAGCCCTGGAAATAGGCTGCCCAGGAAGGTTGTGGAGTCTCCTCTCTGAAGCTCTTTAAAACCTGCTTGGATACAGCCCTGTGCCACATGTTCTAGGTGACCCTGCGTGTGCAGGGAGGTTGGACTAGATGGTCCCCAAAAGTTCCTTCCAGCCTTAATAATTCTATGATTCTATTGCCTCAAGTACTCAACAAGTACCATCCTCCTTATGATAACACTGGAGAAAATTACTCAGATGTGAGTAATGAAAGTCATGGTAGAATTTCAAACCACAAGGAACTACATTTTATAGAAAGATAGCCAATTGAAGCCATATTTCATAAAAAGCTTCCTGAATCTTGAAGTTTCTAAAGTAGATTTTAATTTTTAATTTTCATCACTTATATGTCACAGCATAGAACACAAATAATGCCTTTAAAAGCGTTTACCTCTATGGCATGTGTCTCAGTACTGATTAAAAATATTTGTCCACCACACGCAGCCCAAATGGTATCTTCCATCACCAGCAGGCTTCTAACAGGCAAAACCCCCAATTTCACTATCTTCTGAGGTTCTGTACTCCATGCTCCATCTTCAAAATAAAAAATAAATTAAAAAAAAATTACACATAACAAAATTGTAGTATTTATTTTAAAATAGYTTTAAAAACATTACGTCTTTGTTTATTGCAACTGACTTTGGAACATCTAGTTCATCTAGCTACTTCCAACTATGCTGGGGTTTTTTTGTATGTTTAATTTTACCTTCCAGCCTATGTTTGTAAGGTTAGTATATGACACTAAGGAAAAACACAAATATTCACATTTGTTAACTGAACAAATTTTATCTGGATTAATTGATAAACAAGGAAGCCTACATTGCTGTTTTTATGCAACTTCTTTCCTTTCTAGAGGAAATTCAGTCCATGTAGCAATTCATGTAGCAATTTTCTCCCAGCTAACGAAGAAATCACAATTGACCTGTATCAAGGTAACCTAACTTTCAATCAGGAAAGAATGTGAAAAATACTAAACTTCCAATMTTGTTTGCTCAGGTTTTCTATTTTTCCCCAGTTATAACACGGAGTCTTCTGTGGGCTGCATTTGGCAGATCCGAAGCATGGTGTGACTGCACAAGTTGCAGAATCAGTTTTGCAGGGACCTGATGGCAAGAAGTCCATGCTGCCGCTTACTGTTGGGCTCGCTCCCGCTTGACAGCTCTTTGAAAGAAGGATAAGCAGCCAATTTCTCTCTAGATTTAACAGCTAGCAACATAAGCTACTTTTAAATATTTGTAGTTGTGGTTTTTTGTATTTACATCATTTTGACATACTAAACAGAATAACTGTTGTAATATTTGTTTATTTCAGCACTCATTAAACGTGAAATACCCACAGCACTGTACCTCTGTCCAGGATGCTTCAGTACTAATATCAAAATGTTCTATTTTTGCATTCAGAGAGAACATATATGAAAAAATCCCATTTCCTCTATTGAGAGTCTTCCTCCTACAAAAGCCACCGAAACACTGTCCACTTTATTGACACTGGTTTCAACTCAGTAACCACTCCAGTCCTGATTTATGAGATCATGGTAAGCACACCTTTCATTGAGCACTTATGTAAAATATGTTTTTTATTTTTCTGCAGCAGCCACTCTCTGCTCAGGTAGTAGGAGTACTGAAATTCTGCTTCACAACAACAGGAGCAACAACACGGATGACAGGCCCCAGCTTTTGCTAACTCGTGATGGCTGCTGCCACCTGCAATCACCGAAGCTTTGCTGAATCACTCCTAGAACACAACCCTGCTCTGAAAGCATCTTTGTAAAAATGACATCTAGTTCCTGGCTGTCACACTCATTTTCGTGACCTGAGTTTGCAAGTGAGAAAACCATTTCCAATTCCTAGCCTGCAAATTCTCCAGTGATGTTGAGGTCATTCTATCTTCTTTGTGACCCATCTGGAYCATTAGCAATAAATAAACTAGTATTAGTAATAAAGAAAAGATTTTACTTGTTAGCTACCACATTCTTGTATTTAACTGCCAGGTGAAGGCTGCCTGTCCCCCAAACACTTTAGCCACTGTGTTCAGTGTGAAGCCTTCAGGAAACACGCGCTGCGCACGAGGGCTTCCCCTCAGCTCTCCACACAAAAATGCACCGATAGTAGAAACCACAGCAGCCCCAGCTCGTAGCTCCAAGACCACAATTCCAATTCAGGGAAAAAAACAGCACAATTCTAGTACAGTCCTACTGCCTCTTCTGAACAACAAAGGCTGAGAATTGGGACACAGAGCAAATGCCGTCAGCGAGAAGTTTCCTTCTTTGTGTAGTTAATTTTCAGACCAAACACATTTCATGTACAGACAAAACTGTTTACTAAACTCAGGAGCTCCCCTTCTTAAATATATTCAGTAGTCTCTAAATAAAGRGCAGGAAATGACAGGTAAGTGGGGATTTAAGGGTCCAACTGCACATTTTGGAATTTAAGTTTTCCTTAAATCTCATTTCAGGTCTTTTTTGGGGGACAAGGCAGGGAATCTGGATTTTCATGCCCTTAGCTTCTAAGAAACTACTCAGATATCTAAGCACTAAACTTTTTTTTAGTGGTTTCGATAAGTCTTATTTAAAGTCATTATCAAATGTAACAGCAAAACAGCAAATGTAACAGCAAAAAGGATAATTTACCAGTGACACCAGGCAGATGTTCACTGCAGAATACAAACTCAAAAGCATTTTTTTTCAAGACAGAGTTCAGTATTTATCAATTTGCCACAAAGTCTTTTTCTGTTGCTTCACAATCCAGTTAGCTTCATGAATTCAGTGGGATTTGATAGATGTAAAAATGTTAGTTGAAGATGTCACATTATTCACATTATAGGACTTTTTTTTATGTGTAAGGCAACTCCAATCCCTATTTTGACACCAGCACAAGAGAAAAATCATAGATTTGTGATATAGCTATTCTGTAGTCTTTTATTTTATTTTATTTTTTTGCAAGTGCTGCTGCTCCCTTTTATTTATAAAGGAACAGATTGCTGACAGTTTCTGAGACAGTGAGCAGAAAAGGGGAATAAAAGGGGCAGGCTCTCTAGTCTGGTGATTAGGGCAGTATTTACATGATAGGTCGGCTGTGCTGCTCTCCTAGCACCAGTGAATGTGCAATTAATTATGCCAGTGGCAGAGTGTTTTAATGAGAGGTTTTGCCTCTCCTTCTCTTGCTATACAGGGAGATCTCTGGTGAGCTGGGAAGCATGGGTACAAATCCTCTCCAGCCAGGAAAAGCATTAAGCTTGGTAATCTAGTATACGTCTGTGAATGCCTTAACCACAATCTGCTGGCTAAAAAGGAGGGTCGGRGCTTTCTTTTGCTGACCAAGAATTTCTTCCTTATAGCCAAATTACTTGGAAAATTTGAGTCTTGTTCATAAACTGTTTCAAGATGGCCCTAGCTCTACTTTTCAGAAAATGAACTACTGTCTGCCTCCYTTGGAAAATCCCATCAGACACTACCAAAATACCTGCCTGCACTGACTTCATCCTTGATCTGGGCTAATTCCTGTAAACTGACACTAAATCCATCAGTTCTAAAATGGAAACGGTGCTTCTTTCCACTTACATTTTACTTGTCTAGATAATAGCAGACAGAAGATATTAGATAAGTACCTCTAACAAGTTCAGTGTTATTATATATGTTTTTAAATTAGAGTATTTGTCAAAGATACACAACAGCTTCATTTTTAGTTACAAAGTACTTGCATAGTTCCTAAATTATTATATTGATTTTCTTGTAATAAGAAAAAGAAACAAGACATAAGGGGCGAAATGAAACTTTCGTCAACAAATACTCAAGGCCTAAAACAGGACAAAGCCAGGCAAGGAGCCCAGCGTGATCCCATGCAGAGTCTCCAAAGCATTTTGTAAAAACCAAATCAACCAAAGGAAAAACAAGCAGTGGATACACGTAATGTGGCTGCCAGAGAGCTAGCTGGAGAACGACCACAGAACTCTCCATAGGACTGTGGCCTGTTCTAAAGTTCTGATCCTCAATATTGTATTTCTACTTTTTAAATAAAACACGGTTTTAGCTTTAAAAAGGTTTTCTGGAATGCTGAAAAGCCACAGACAATAAACCCATTGTTTACTTAGAAGTATATTGCTGTGTGAAATGCAAAATGCAGTGCACACATCCTGCTACAGAAGGTTAGTTTGCACCCTGAGCAAATACAGGGTCGAGCCTGAAAATAGGGAGGAAAAGGTGGGAGAACAGATCGGGATTTAATTTCTGCTTTGTGAGAGAAGTCCATACAAATATTARCAATATATAAAGAGAACTGTGCAATATATAAATACAACTGGGCAGATTTACTATGAAGATATCAAATGCCTAATATGTGTGACAGTACGTGACAGCCTGTGGCAGTCTCTAAATGTCATCGTGATCAGTAGGGATTAAGGTACAGTTATCTGTGGGATGCATCCAAAAATCYGAATACAAGGCCAGCACAAAAATCAAATACAGGGTCTTTTAGAAATAAGTTCTCACAATTTCTAATACTTAATAAATGAACGCTTAAGAACTATTATTTTTAAGCACTATTATTGCTAAGCAATAATACCTGCCTYCCACCATTGTTTAAAATATTCTCTGTAACTTGCAATTCCTCCAGTATCGTATGTCCCATAATTTATATCCCAGTGCTGAAAAGTATCCTACAATATTCAAATCAAGTCTGCTTTGCTGTATCAAAATAAGAAATCTTATGCCCATAAGATACAGCCAAGCTTTTCATGTATAAAGATGCAATTTCCATTAATGCTTTTTGTCATTGCTTTAGCTTTATGATTTTTATGGGGATAATTCTAGAAAACCAGTTTTCCTTCTGTTCCCTCAAACCAAATCAATCAGGTATATCAGGTATAAATCAAATCGACCACGAAATTTTTCAAATCAGCATTCATTTTATAGGACAAAATATTGGCCATTTTACTTTTTCTGTTTTGTTTCCATATGACTCAATAAAAGGAAGAAGTATTATTTTATAATTTGTTGGTGCTCTTATGTCTTTAGATGATAGGACCTGATAAAACACACATTTTCTCATCAAAAGTCATTTTCCAGTGCACAGTTATTTTCCCTTCCCCTCCACACTTTCAGGAGAGCTCAAATTGACAGGGTTTTTTTGTCGGTAACTTCCTCCTCTGCTCAGCATCACTACTGACGATTTCCAGCATCACTGTTGACGATTTCAGCAGAGCTGCCAACACAGCCCTGGGAACAGCGGTTGTTGGTTTATTAGTGCAGTGGAGCACAAGTATTCTCCCCACCACATGGTGCCTTGGCCAGCGTTAGTGAGGGGTAAGTCAGTTGACAGAGAAACAGAGAGAAGTTCAGCACATATCTTGTCACATGGAAAGAAGCAGAGGGATTTGAATCCACCCTTCCAGGGTAGGAATTGTGGGCAGGAATTCCACTGTAGCTAGGAATGCAATGTGCTGCACATTGTATAGCCAGTTTTTCTAGACAGGCAATAAATTCTGCGTGCTGAATAGCAGGTCAGAGCCCTCCCTCAAATTACAGAGACAGGTAACCTTGAAAGTCCCAGCACGAGATAAGCAAAGACCAACTGATAGCAACATCAGGATACACCTGGTAATGGTATCAGGGAATACTGCCAAAAGCGGTAATGCAAGCGAGACACCAGCRTTCATTTCTGCTCCTATAGCACTTCTCTGTGCAGAAGCTCAGTATCATTCCTTATTTTTCACTGACTCTTTGGATATCGGAGCCACGCGTGAACCCATCAGCACTCTGAAATGCGGCACCAGCCCCTTAGGCCGCACGTGCTCCTCCTCTCTGGCTTTGTCAAGGTAAACAACACGACGACTGTCTTCCTAATGAACCGACCTGACCTCTTTTAATCATTCCTCATTACAAGATTTTATATTTGCTTTTAATTTTGGCTCCTTCTCCTTAATCAATAAMCACTTTCAGAGGATTTCTATCAGTGTCTCGAAGCCTTTTTGTACTAGTAAGTTCTCAAAGCTCTCAGCTGACCCCAGGGCTGGCTGAGGTTTTGCCCATGAAGTCTCTCTAAGGATGCAACGTTCTGCTCCGTGCAGGGCCGGAATTGCTGCAGTTTTTGTTCTCGTACCACATTTGTATTTGACTGAAATCGTCAAAGTTCAAATTTCTTAAACCTTGGGGCCAGAATCTGCATGCACCCAGAAGAATAGGCTCTGCAAACAAAACCTAATGGCAAGACCTGTTTTTATTAGAACAGGTAAGAGTTTTCTGCGGGCTCAGTAGATGGATGTGTGGGGTCAGTTCTCTCTATGAGGAAAGAGATTCAACCAACGCWGGCTGCTTCCTGATCCCTTCTTCCTGCTAAAGCTGACCCCCCCCCCCCTTTTTTTTTCTCCCCTTGCAACAGAGCAAGGTTTTATGTATTAAATAATGTATTAACTGTACACTTGATAAAACAGAGCTCTTACTTCTGCTGAGAGGCTAGTGTTGTGCCTCAGCCATTGCAGACTCAGACAAGTCCTCTTCCTCCTCTCCTGCTTAAAAAAGGAACAGATCCTCGACTCATTCCCCATCCTAAGACCCTGATACTAGGAGTAAGTTCTGCACTGTGCAGACAGGAGCTTCTTCAACCCAGAGAAACACCTTTTTTCCAGTCGGCTTGTTTGGAGGTTTCTCTCAGGAGCGTGCCGGGGGCTCTGGCCTTCCTTCCCGGTTAGGGGAGCACAGGGGCTCCTCCAGGTGCTGCACACACTCCATAGAAGCTGCAGCTTCCAAGCCTAAGAGTCACTAGTCACTGAGGTCACAGCAACAAGGCTTTTTTTTTTTTTTTGGTGCATCCATTCTTGAATCTTAACTGAACCAAACTCTTCCTGAAATTAGTAAGTACTAATTCTCCAACTGTTTCCACAACCATTCTGAGTTTTCATTCACTTTTTCCTGTTTCTCTCCATATCCCTTACGGGTCTTTTGGGGAAGGAAGCATGAATCAGTGTCTTTATGAGAAGGAAGTACCTGGAACTGGCTGCAGTAATGCCTGGACAATACACTTATATTTATAAAGGTTGTGATTTCCCTTTCCCAGGATACTCTTGTGAATGAAAGTCAAGCACGCACTGACCTTTTCTGCTATCACATCATTCAGAAAACACATCTGCGTGGCCGTCTGCAATCACGACAAAGTGTTTGTTTGGGGTTTTTTTGTAATTATTTTAAATATAGATGAACAATACACTTTTTCCTTAACCTCATACAGAAGTGCTTTGCCTGGAAATATTCCTATTAATCAAGCCTGTAGCAAAATCTGAATACACAATATTTCATTTATGTTTGCAAAGTTATTAGCACTGAAAACAAGGTTTTAATATGTAAAGAGTCAGGTAGACTTTGCAATCAGCATTACCAGTGTTCCTTTACATAACAACAGCATTTGCACAGTAGCATTTTTATGGTTCCCCAAATAAGTCTTTTCATCCACATAAAATTAAGGGTGATTTATTTTTAGGACTAAAATATCAGTTCATCTACATCCTAATATGTCTGTGACACTTTGACCAATTGCCATCTTAGCCCACTAAGGAACTGATTAGATTTTAGATTTAGTTTTTAGTTACCCATTGACCTTGTTTTTAATTTATGTTCAAATACACTTAGGTTCAAAGAATTTATATCCAATAAGTGAAGCACACTGACAGGCAGGTGGCCCAGTAAAACACAACTGCCCTCCATAAAGCAGCACATGACAATATGAACCTCCAACTCTCCCACTTACAATGCACATATTCCTCARTTTCCTATACATTTCCTATATGCTCTTTTCAGTTCCCATTTTAAATTACTTCAAGACTTCAAGATTGCTTTTTGTAGCTGATGTGCACTCTGGATGTTGCAGACTTGACAAAATTCTCTTGTGAAGAAAGTTGAAGGGGAGCACCAGCTACTTCCAAACAAAGTTAAATATTTACACATGTTGAGCCACCTGAAAACAGGAAGGGAAATCAAAGCTGTTTAAGGACTGGACACAAGTGACAGAACTCGGAGGTCTCTGGTTGCCTTGCACAGCAGCACCTGAACTTCCCTGCTGCACAGTCTGGCTTCAGTGGAAGGAACAAGGATCACAACTCCAAATAAAAASTGAAATGCATTTGCAGCCTGGAAGACAGATCCCTCCTCATTATTCATTCATGGAATCCTATAAAACTCTGCACTACTCTTATCTCTGCATTTGATGACATTTGCCCTTCTCTAAAAATAGGCTTTAAATCAGAATGCCTTGTAAAGCTGGGAGCTTTTTTTTTTTTCCCCCCTCTTCCTCTTTTTTCCTCGCAAATGATTTTTTTTCACTTTCAATTTTAAATCTCTCCTTAATCTTCTTTATCTTTATAGGCCAAAGACAAAACAGAGATGCAGAGAGCAGAGGCTGACCCTGATGAACTGCACAACACTCCTGCCAGGCTGCGCTCTCTGTCCCTCCTATTCCAGCACTCRGATTCACTTGTCTGGTAAAATAGGTCAGTGCTCATAAAAAAAMCCCTTCAGGGCTGGCTGCAGCACATGACCATGGCAGCAACTGCCCAGGACTGTGAATGCTAATATGGAGCAACTGATTTGCACAGGGTTTATGAGCCATGGAGAGCTGAACCACCAGTGGGGCCAAACTGCAGGGGAAGGCGCTGCAGGAYGGGTCAGAAAAAACCTGAATGGCCATTTCCCATCGCAGAGCTGCAGCTCTCCCGAGGGGGAAAGGCCTCCTGGGGCTTTCGGAACACCTAGCTGCACCAAACGGGGCTCTTCAGAGGGAGGAAGAACAGGGGTCCCTACGGTGCTGGTCACATCAATATACTCTGCAGCCCATCCCCTAATTCTCTCCGGTTAATAGGCCTGCTCCATTCCTCACACATGCGCCCTGTGTGTCCTTTCTCACCTGCACTGCTAGTGAGGCTACTCTTCCTTTTAAAGTCTTCTTTTTTGTAAGAAGATCAGTCACAGTCTTACATAATTCACATTTACCAGTCCCTTCCACAGAAGATGACAGGGCCGTCTTTCTACCTCACCCAGATACATAAGAGAAATGAAGCATCAAAAATGGTAACATGAAGCAGTGATCAAGGCCACTCTTGTACCATCAAAAAAGGACAAATTTAGTCTTAATTGARAAAATAATTTTAAAGGGAGCTGAACTCTACCATCTGGCTTAGGATCAGAGAATACAGCTCAGTCAGGAAGACAAGAAGAAACCCACTGAGCTGACAACGGCAACTGGCGAAAGGAAATCTCGTTTCCAACACTTCTTTTGGATGTTTCTTGAAAGCAACAACAACAAAATAACGTACCTCAAACCTTTACATTATCTAACATTGAACAGTATTTGTTACACATCATTTTTCCACATATTCAAGGTACCAAAGTTGTCTCTTCAGCAGAAGCCTGGCAGAAGGTGCTAGCTGAAGAGCAGCTCATTTGGGCTGCACCAGGACCCTGCAGGTATCTCTGGTGGGGCAGACCAGCTCTGCACTTAGCCAGGGCAGCGGCCTCTGCACCTGCATCTCCCATCTGGAGGGACCTGAGGCTCAAATTTTTTCACAAATTATTTTTGCTAGATAAAAAAAAAAAAAAAAAAAAAAAATCTGATTGCAACAGTAATGTGAAAGGACCCTTCCTGTGAAGCATGAGTTGCACACAAAGGAAGATTTCTTTCTGTACAATAAAAATTGAGCCACCATTTCAAATGAGATAGTCAAGAATTTCTGCTAATAGGGCATTTTTGTCTTCCTTCAAAGCAGGGGAGATGAATGGAATTGGCATTGTGCTGTGCAAAACACGTGGTGCCATTTGTTATCTCATATACTGTGGACTTGCACTCCACTGAAGACTTTAGTTTTTAGGTTTTCAGGGCACAGTTTCAAGCATTCATATGTATTTTATGTGACAGCAAATAAACTGGGAAGAACAGCAAAGAATTTAATAGCACTCAGAAATACAATAAAAAAAAGTAGAAAATATCTTTTTGGGAAGCTTTTCTTTCCCCCCTATAACTATAGTAACCTTAGGTCAGCAGCTGTGCAGAGCAGGAAAAACCTACTTGTGCCAAAACACACTGACAGAGGAGAACCTCAGGATGTTACCAAACCATATCAGCACATTACCTTCTGCTTTGGGGTACACGGCGATGTTCCCGTTCACCAAACCAGCAAACAAGTACTGAGACATATATGTTAAGCTCATAACAGTTGATTTTTCAGGAGCAAAGAAGTGTTGAAGTCGAATTTTCTTTGAGCCTTGACAACTTTTGTAAATAGATATGCTAAAAGAGAAGCAAGGAACAGTAAGCCTGCAAAGTTATGGCTTATTTGGTTCTTATTAGAACATGCACAGAAGAGGTTTAGAAAACATTGCTGTGGCAAAGATTCTCACCTTCTACTCACAGGAAGGTGAGAATGAAAGGGACTACCTTGACTCTCTAAAATATCTMCACAGGCAATTTACCATAACTTAAACAGAACATATGACAATGCTCTTTGCTTTATCTTGGCTGGAGAAATATTTCTTCAGCCAAGAGGCATAACAAGAGTCAATGTTCTTATTAAACATCTACCTACAACTTCCTGTTGGTTTCAGATTAATATGGACTAAATGCTCCTGCAGAACTGTTTTAGTTGTAAGGAAGAAGTACAGGTCACTGGCTACTAAATACATTCTAAAAATAAAGCATCTTCTAGCAAAAGTGTCACAACTTTACTGAGAGCTGACATTATAGAGTAACAAATGCTATACAGTAACAAAATTATAGCACACTGTATAGTATTACAACACATGAAAAATGAGAATCACCTTCCTTCTTCCATGCCAAGGCAAATGGTAGGCACATTAGAAGCTTTCGTAAGGCCGTTTTCAGAGTCAGGAAGCGTGTTTAACTGTTTTGCTTTCTCCTCCTCTGGTATGTAGACCATGCAGAGAATCCGTGATTCCACATTGAAGCATTCAATAACCTTGGGGCTGGAGTTTTGAAACGACACTATTGCAATCTGGCCCATCTGGTTTGTACAACTGCCAATCTGGATTAGAAAGAGATGAGATAGGGCTAAGACTGATACCTGTGCCCAGCAAGAACAGCATTAGCAAGAATGAATAAATTAATTAAAGAGCACATCTTAAGAGCACATCTTAAGTTATGCACAGGAACATGAATTTCCATGGGTCAAGTCATAAACAAGAGCAATTCAGCACAAACATAATAGATTTAAAATGTTATATAAGAACACAGAATCCCCTGCGTACTCAAACAATACTGTATAGCCTTTTTCCTTTTTTTCAAAAAAAGGAATATCGTGCTTCTTTTGAAGTCTATCATACGCATATACAATACATATCTGTATAATTACAACAAATACCTGTGTAAAATACTATTTTAATAGCTATTTTAATTATCCCAGACACTCTTACACTAAATAATATAGCTGAGGCCTGTCCTTYGCACAGTAGTAGGTCTATAGGCAAATGCTGTAACCCAACAGAACAGGGGCATAACCCAACAGAACTAACATCATTCATCATTTAAATTTATTGATGAAGGAAACATATCCCTGATCCAAGACTAGATCTCATCAATAGGTCCTCAAATATGTATATTTTAGGGAGCTGGAAAGAGTGAAAAATGTCTGCCTGGGAAGAACAAAATGTTGTTACGTAATTACTTTCTATGTTTATATGAAACAAAATAGGGTGACAAAGAGGAAGAAAAAATATTATGCTGCAGTAAAAAGATTTTGTTGGCATATATTTGTGATAACTGTTTCCAATCAGCACAGACAAAAACCAATTACAGGTCTTCTTGAAAAGGACAATTGACCACAATCATTCTTTTGTTTTTAATTCTGTAGGGATCCAAACTGTCAGTCCCTATAATGACAGTATTGTACTAAGAAGAAAAACTACTGAAATCATYAGATTTTTTGAAAATGTGTCAGCTATCCTGCTTTCCCTACTAGAATATCTGCATATGACCAAAATAYGTTTTAAATTATGAAAATAAATGGTGGGACAGTGCAATCTCATATATGTTTCAGTAGCCTTCATTATCCATTACGACATCGCTTGCTTCTAGACAGGCTCAGCACTTTGGAGTTCATACTTTGCCACAAAAACAAATCAGATGCACAAATAAAAAGCATACATAGAGAACAGGGACAAAGTTACTAGTTACCCTTTATAGGAGTTGATCTAAAATAAAAATGAACAAATAAAAAAAAAATCCAAGTGTTTTGAATCCATATGTTGCTAGGAATAACAGAAAATAAGAAAAAAATAAGAGGGGAAAAAAATCTTCCACTCTTTTTAACATTTAAAAACTGAGCTTACCCAAAGAAAGCCATGCTCCATGGAACAGAAATCCGACTCGGCTTCTCCAGGGAGGTAAGGCTCGGGATTATAGGCGGCACATTCAATCTTCAAACAAGGAGAACAACAGTCAGCACCTTTGTTTTAGTAAGGAGGCCTGCTCGTTTCCTGGTGTCCGGGCTGTGACGCTCCAGGCCACAGGAGTGTGTCCAGGGTGGCAGGGGGAGCGGGCGGTGGGGCCCATGCAGCCGGTGCAGGAGGCAGCGCCCGCTCATCCCCGCTCGTGTCGTGTCCCCTGCTCCTGGGCACTCCTCACCCGTCCCCTGCTCTGCCCCGCTGCCCCTCCAGCCTCACACGCCGTGTCCCTGGGCCCCGTCTGAGGCCGGCCCTGCTCCACCTGCTGCCCTGGTGCTTCTCATTCCCGTCTCCAGCACAGATTATTTCCTTCCCTTTGGCAGTGACCCGTCACATACAGCAAGGCTGCCACGTGCTATGGCCCTTCCTAGGGCTCCTCTTCATCATGGCTAGAAACTACCACTTAATACATTCAATTATTATCATTAGTATTTTTTTTTTAAATCTTATTTTAAAATTCCTGATTATCATCCCTGTTTTTCAGTTGGCAACTCTCCACCAGCTCCATATATTTGTAAATGGAGAACTCTCCAAACTGAACATGCTGTTCCAGTAGGGATGTCAGGAACTCTACTAATGAAGGATAAACTCTTCCAAACCCGTTTGGTAAGTTCCATTGGTTATTTGATCTTGATAAATATTTTATGTTGCTGCCAATCCTTAGCTGGTTGTTCTACTAAAAATTACTTTTACAGACTTCCTATTGAACCATCCCAAAATCTGTACTTGAAAAGCTATTTATTTCTCCCTGAGCATACCTTGTGCAGACATCCTATTATTTTTCTAGGTTACTTCTCCACATATTTTATTCATTTTGAACACTAATCCTGCTCTCCATAATACTCCCACTCCCTATCAACTTCATGTCATTCTGGCACTGACAGTAAATTAATAAGCAAAATCAAGACTTCATCATCCTGTTCATTTAAGCAAATGCTCAAACTAATATCAGACTCAAGATAAATCCTCTAAATTTAAATCCATCTCTACTCAGAGAGGCACACAAGCCCCAATTTACTGACACTAAACAGGGGCATTTCATCAGCCACGGATTTCCATGTTTCCTGCAATATCAATGGCAGAACATCCTAAAGATTATGTAAGTATCTTAAAACACATTAAAGCAATCTACAATCGAACACAGGACAATGTTCTGCAGAGTAAAAAGGTTCCTGATGAAGAACCTTTAAAGTRTTAAAGTTCTCTATAAGGCACTTGGATGGTCTCGTCTTGGACAACACTGATACTGTGATTATATTGCTTGGGCTTCTAGAACCACGTGTTAACTGTCATTTCTACAYGCCTAACCTGGCATTGCTACAGAACATGGCAATGTAATATCACTGAACTGAGTAATTTAAAAAATATATTTTAAATTAATTTTTTAAATTAAATTAAAATTTAAATTAAAAAATAAAACGCAGGTATAAATTAGAAAGCTAAATTTGCAGTTTAATTTATTTACTTTTTGAAAGCGCAAAGCATTTCACAATTCTCCTTGAAGTCAGCAGGCACTACCAAGAGATTAGCAGTAGCAAAACCAGGGTTACTTGGTTGCTAAATAATTCACCATGAGGATAAAATATGTAAACACATGCATCAGCAACGAGGAAGAAAAAAAGAAAAGAGCAGCTCGCCATGCCAATTTATGCCTATCCTGCTTAACACATGTTGAAACYGTACTCTGGTAATGGTGATTTGCAGTAGCTGTGACAGCTAAATACAGCACTAATGAAGGAGAAGGCCGCCTGCCTGCTGGATGTTCCTTGAGCTGCTTGCCACATTTCCCAGTTAGTTTGTGTCCTATCAAAACCGAGGTTGTTTTCCATGTTTAAACGGTGGTAGCTCGGCCCTCCAATTTCACAGAAGCTCTTTGCAGAATGATGGCCCTAGGTACAAGTAAACTCAGATGGAAGAAATCACAGGCTGCGCTCCGTGCCGGCCAGAGCGAGCAGCACAGTGAGGGCTGACACGCTGGGTTGCTCGAGCGAGAGCCCATGGGCCAAACCACAAAACAAGGGAATATTAAATGATTTGCCCAGTAGTGGCTAGGCCTTAGGAGCATGAGGAAAGGCAGCCAGGCTCGAGGGAAGCTGTAAGAGCTGCAAAACATGCAAAGCTGGCCTAAAGCTCAGTCAAATGCTGGCAAACCCTGTGTCTGCTGAGTGGCCATGGCAAAGGTTATTATATATAATAACCTACACATATACCTATAGATACAGGCATGTAACTGGAAGGGCTACAGGCTTTTGCTTCCTGTTGTAACTTGGTTATCGAAGTTAGGTCCAGGCCTCCACAGCACCTGGCACGGGCAAACAGGGCTTAAAAACACACTGGCTCTAAGGAAACAAACTATTTTGAATTTTCTTAATATTAATTGGATTATTTAGCAAGTGGTGAATTTATTAACCCTTAATATAGTCAAAGCTGAGTGTTTAATGCTATATGAATGATACAATGTGGGGTTTTATGGGAGACAGGGAACTTTAAGTAGACTTTGGTTTCTGCAAGTTGCAGCACCACCCTGAGAAAGTGTCACAGGAATGGCCCGATTTACAACCCTTGAGCATTGCAACACCTCCAGAGAGTGGATACCCTCCCCTGATGCCCACACTGGCATGCACCTGCTTACAGGGAAGCTGCCAGCTGAACTTCCTTCCTGGGCAGACTGTCCTAGGAACGAGCAATGAACAGACTTGCTCAGGCTTTAGGCGGTACCTATGCGGTCAYGTCAACATTAGGGTTCTGGCCATACCTCTACAACCTTTATTTCCATCGGGTTTTAGCACATAGGTAATCRATGACCCAATAAGAAATCTTATTGATGCATAGCAAGAAAGAATATCTAGCACTGCTCCTCTGGACTTGYTGTATTTATTTTCTTCACTAAAGCCAGTCATAGATAGGAGTTCAGACATAGGAACCAAGGTTTTAGGACAACTTTTATGYTGTCCTTCAGAACAGAAATACATTTTTATATATGACCTTATAAAATGGAATTATTTTCAATAATTTGATCTTTGTGCATTCATGAAAATCTAAAATTTGAACAGGACTCAGTGCAGTCACACCCATATAGAAGAGCTATGGGTGATGAGATKCCCAATTGCAGTTCACATTGCCAGTCCATACAACGACAGGAAAACCCCAAGATCAACTCAAAATTTCTAGCAGTTTTATTTTATTTGAGTGAGGAGCTTACACCTGAAATTGGATATCATGCCATTTAAAAGCAAGCACTATACTTCTCAGTGTCTCAAAGGTGACAGGTATTTTGTCCTTGGAGTCTCCATTGCTATTGGCCTTGCAGCAAGACATATGTTAGCAGGAAATTAAGAGTGTGGGGCTCAACTTAAACTCCCAGAACTATCTACAGTATAGTATCCTTTAGCCACTGTTACTTCATATAACAATTCTGTTTACCTTAAACTCTTGTTGTTTGGCCATCATCACTGGCATGTGTCTAACAAGAAGAGGATGTTTCTCCTTTTTGATCTGATTCCCATCCTCTTCTACACAGAACCAACCTAACAGATTATCCTCCGCTGTAATGGCAAGAACAAACAGTAAATATCCCCCAGCACTTTCAGTGTAGAATTGCTTACACCCCTTCACAGAGCAGAACCAAACATTTCTGGAACTGGTTAGTACTKATCGGGCCCTTCTCCTGCCATCTACGCTTCCGAAGGAACAAATGATGCTTAAAAGTAGAAGCAGAATTTCTATACACTAGACCATGTACATATTATTAATGCAAAAATAGCAGCTAATACTAGCAAAATTTAAAGGGTGTTTACTTAGCAGTCTTGCCAGCCTCTCCTAACCATCTTGACAGTAGGATATTAAAACAGGAACAGGATACTTGCTTAAACATGCTACCAAATCTCATTTTAGACCAGCAAACAGAAACTGCAAACATCATCATTTCTCTGCTGAACTTAAGTGGCATGCCTAACAGCCACTATTTACTGTAATTGCAAGGCTCTTCCTCATGGAATGACAGAGATGTCTTCTCTCCCTTTTTTTAATTTTATTTTTTGTCTGCCCTCAGTGGGATAGAAAAAGTGTCTTCTTTTGAGGAGGTGCTAGAAAAACTTGCTTTCTATCAGCTGCATATCCTAGATTTGTCTCAGTTGAGGCACACAATGTGCCCATCAACTTTCCAAATTAGGCCCCCTGTGAAAGTACATGGGTCTAATAACAAAGCAGGACAGCACATTTCTCATTGCTCCCCCTGAGGGCAGGCTTGTTACTGATCCTCTCTCCACTGAGGATGATAGGATTATAATTAAAAAAGGCACTTTATCCCCACCCCAAGCTTGTGGTTTCAGGAATCCATCTATAGAATTATCACATAATTTTAAAATGATGAAAGTAATTCTTTTAGCTCAGAAAGCTAAACAGATGAACCCAACAGCTTTACTGTCATCTTCTAGTTCCAGCTAAAGTTGTTCATAAGCCAAAACTGAGAAATTTGTTCCTGAAAGACAAATGTCTGGAAAGTTTGTARGATTTGAAGATATAAGAAATAAAGTGGAGTAACTTCCAACTTCCTGTCCTCTACTGTATTTCACTAGTTCTGACACAGACAAGTGATGTTAGTATAGAACACAGCAGACTTCATTAATATATTGTGGAAATTATATTACTTCATAATGAATCCCTCATCCTTTCTGGAATATCATTATTTTGCAATGATATACAATCACTACTATCTAGTGTACTGCCATTTTAACATCTTCAGACAGACTTTCACAAAGCAATTTTGATTTCTGTAACATACAGTACATTGAGAACTATCTCGCTTGTTAGTTTAAGTAACTAAGAATTACCAAGGGCCAGCTTAGCCATTTGTAAATTGTTGATCCAAGACTGTTTGATTGCAGGGGTAAATGTATTGAATACAGCTGTAAAGAAAGTAGGCCGCCCAGACCTGCAAGACAGGGGGGAAAAAAGAAAAAGGAAAAAAAAAAAAAAAAAAGGAAAAAAAAAAGTAGTCATTCTGGAATACGAGTGTGAGATACAGTCAAAGCTAAAAATGTTGAGCCAGATGATGAAATCTCATTATTTTCTTGTATTTCAGAGAAGACAACTCAGATACTGACAGGCAGGCAGTGACGAAACACGTCACATACCTTGCTGCCTTGCTGCCAAAACTTGCTGCATGAAATCACACGAAAGAGTCACCCCTTGGTAAATCAGTACAACAGTGGCTACTCCCCATGAAGGGTCATTGCCACAGCTACTCTTCCATCAAAAACCACACTGAGCAAAAGGAAAAAACTCTACAACGCTCAAAAACTGGTAATGCTCTGTCATGAGTGAAAATTGCCATTGTAATGACATGGGAACAGTAGTCAGAGGCCAACTGTAGAGATAGAAGAGGAGGAAGAACTGAAGTTTCTCTGATATTTCTATGCGAAAGACACAAGCACATTTAGAAAGCTTCACAATCAAGGTTACTACTGACTTGTCCTGCTTTCCTGGAAGTTGTAGCTGGATTCTACAGCGATCTGCAGCCCTAATCTCATCTTCTTTTTTCAAGATCAGTTTTTGTAAGCCTGATGTCCAGTCATGGGCTACCGATGGGTTCAAGTTCTGAAAAAATAAAAAGTTTAAGTTTAGATTCAGCACCAGCCTACTGGCCTATTTCCCATATGCTACGATGAGCTTTCCTTAAAAATAACAATTCTTGAAGTTGATATTTTAACCGTGAATAATTTAGATGGATTTGTAAATGCATTTCAAAAATACGTATAGCGATTTAATAATGTATTTATACTACAATTTACATTGTTCAGAGCTTGATGTTACAGAAATTATACTGTCTGATTAACAAATATGAATTTGCTTCAGGTGTGTGCATGACCCTTTCACTTCATTTCAAAGGAACAATTACAAAGATACCCCAAATAGGTATCCCAAATGCATCCAAATGGCCACCCTGTGCCACATGCTCTAGGTGTGCCTGCTTGAGCAGGAAGGTTGGACTAGATGATCTGTAGAGRTCCCTTCCAACCTTAAATACTCTGTGATTCTSTGAAATTTTCTAAAATATCTCACAGAAAAAGCTTATAAATCATACCTTCTGTACATTTTCGCTAAAATATGTGGTAATCATGAAAGGTCTTTGTGTGATTGGAATGTGCTCCAGGAGGATGCTGAAACAGTAATATCCCTGCAAGTCTAATAGGCAGCCTCATGGGTAAGTACACTTGAGCGGTAGCAACAAGCTTCTGGTATGCAAAAGTACATTAATTTCAAGCAGTTAGAATTTTATGAAAATTGAAGCTTCTTTTTCCCCAAAAGAAAGAAGCTGACTTAATTCCTCAACCAAATTGTTCAAATTTACTTATGCATCTGTACCTGGCACATTGCTTAAATTTTACAATTGCAAAAMGCAATTGTGTATTTCAGCAGCTGAATGTCTTGTCTCTGATGTACGAAATGTTTATACCCAATCATTGAGCTGAAATTCATCTTCGAGAACTTGCAAAATTTTGTTTAAAATCAGTTTCTCTAGCATTCCTTCACAGTGCATGCCCTCAGCGAGTTTGACTTTTTATTTCATGCCCTTGACTCAGAGCAAGACACCACAAGAGAAACTCAGAGACCCATACACATATTCACACGTGCATGTGCGCACATTTATAGGTCTTACAGTTGCAAGAAGAAGTCAAAAATGTGTGCTAACCAAAGGGCCAAAAAGAAAACAAATCTGTAAAGTTCTATGAGTGTGGAGAATTCATTTTGAAATTCTGTGTTAACCTCCTTGATATATTTGGCAGAATACATGCTGAAAAACGGATGTGAATAAGGATGAAGCAAATTACTTTCAAAATTCCACTGAAAATCCTGTCATGTTTTTATGATTTGCATTTAGTCATGAATACAGCTTCTCCTTGAAAGCCAGGATGATGTGTTTGAATGGGCATCAAGTGCTTTAACCAATAACACTAAAACAAGGAAAAAAAAGGAAAATCAGCTTTCTTACTACTATGCTGCCTGACTATAAGAAAGCAATTTTTTAAGACTAAAATGTAATTCTGTTTCCAAGTAAGCTTAGCAGCTACTGAGCAAATGCAGACACTTGTAGTATCCACCTACACATAAAAACAATCGAGAAAAACACRATTTTAAAAAGGCAGCTGTAATCTACTTACAAGTCTAAGCATTTAACAGTAAATTAATTACTGGAGTTAAAAATGATTTTACTCTCTATGGAGAGCTCTTAGAAAGCGACTGACTGTACCACCTTGCAACTGGAGCACATTTAAAAATAAATCCAGCTTTATTTATTTACCTGGTAGTTTCCCTTAAGGCTGACTATTAATTGACTAATTTGGCCAACTACATTCAAATCATGCAAGAGGTTCTGCAGATCATGGTAYAGTTGCCCTGGTCCCATATACAGCTTGTCTGCAATGAATAAAAAACATTAGATTACACATAATAMAAAGATGCAATTCTCAGCGAAGAARGAAAGCAGGATAAATGTAATACCATTAACATGAGTCACTACTTCTTAACACTGTGTGAAAACTGAGCATTATCAGWACAGGTTTTGTTCCTTCCATATTGTAAAAAAAACACTATTATACTCTTGTATAGATACATATTCATTAGTTCTAAAAATCAGAGTGTTTTATTTATACACATGTCACAGCTCTTTTACTTTGCTGATCCACGTCCCCACAGCCAGATAATTGGGAAATGCGTCACTGGAAATTATAGGTATCTGTGCATATCCTGGTGTTACCACGGGCATTTCCTTTCTGCTCACCTTATCATTGCCTTTTACAACTACAATTTAGAGCAGAGCTTGTTTATCTAGTACRAGGGAGCACAGTGTCTGTAATTTAATAACCATGCACTACAACTGTGCCAAACATCAAAGCTTCACTGGCTTCAGCAAGGACAAATCCTCCAAAGCTCYGAATTACATGGAATTTTTCATCAGCATCGAGCAGTAGATTTCCTGTAACACATTAGTTTCAGTGCCCTTCATGAACATTGCTTTTGCTCATGTGACAAGTCCGAAAAGTTATTTGCTGCCTTCATCATGGTTGTTTAAAACTCACAGTTTCTTAAGCCTTGGGGCGAGACGTCTCTGGAGGCGGCCGCTTGCCCTGCACCCCGAGGACAGCCCAGCAGCAGGATGAGCTGCACCCTGGGGGCTCCCTGCCCATGCGCTGCCTGTTTTCTAGCTGGGACACCCAAAACACATCCATTTCATAGACCTCTTCCTGCGACYGGTGCAATGGGGAAAAAAAAGGAGGAAAAAGGTTTCTGTGCCTTGCCCTTGAGCACTGAACWGGGCGCCCATGCACTCAGGGCTATTTCCCTGGCACAGAGCAGATGGAGCTCCTCTGCACTGCATGTTAATCGAGAGCACAAGGCAGYCCTGCTCCTCCTCACAGGCAGAACAGCCTTTAAGAAAAGATTATTCCATTTATTGTATGCAAAAAAAAAGGAATAATTCCAAAATAGACCAAAGAGGAAGAGTTTTTRGATTATGTTCTTCAGAGTAGGTTTTTAGATTTTTTTTTTTTTTTAAAGACTTCTCAGTAGCTGTTGAATGCATACTTCCCTTAAGCTGCATTTTGACTTTCTCTGGTCCAAAAAGTAGAAAGATTAACACCTGAAAATTCTAAAGAGGTGCCTCCCTGTATCCCTCTTCTTCTGTTAGCTAACATCTGTTTTCTGACTGATGTCTACAATAACTATAAAGTGCCAGAATTGCTAGTTCCTGGGCACAACAAATTSTTTATTTCAAAGGATTTACTTGAAACAACAACAGATCACTCAGTGTTAACAGAGGTCTGAGAGAACTACAGCAAAATGCAGTTTAGCCCAACTATAAGTAACTGGCAGTTTTGTTTCTGGCACAAATCCATTTACTTACCTGCTGTTTATAAATTCCACTATTGATCAGTCCAAGCTGCAACACAGAAAAAAGCACTAAGGCTATTTCAGAAATTTGTGAGTCTAAACCACGTGAAAATTCACAACTAGCAAGCTGTGAAAAGCTGAAAGCGTGCAAGGAGTTGAGTCACTAAAACCTCAACTGAAGTGATTTTAGGCTCATTTGTTAAAGAACGAAGTTTTAGCCAAAAAAAAAAAAAATTGAATGAAAAAAATAATTAAGGAGAATTTGTTTCCATCCTCTGATATTCTAAAGCAGAAGTAGCTGAACTAAGAAGAAATTTAAGGGGTCAGAAAAGGCCTGGTGAGTAGCCACAGTTATCATCATGTTTTCAGACAGACCCTTAGTGAGCACAAGCTGAAGCACAGAAAGGTAATTTGACACAGAAAGGTAAGAGATCAGGGATGATCAACCAAAATTCTGTCAAAATTTACCATTCGAGTTATGTCTGGATATTGAGTTATAAGTTACAGCAAATTCATATCTGACTTTGGTCCTGCAAGAGTTAATGAGAACATCTTTTAAAATAGGATTCGCTTGTTTAGCTCGTTAGAGGTTAACAATATGTTAGTAGCTGATTGATGTGGGGATTCTGATGGAGGGTTTTTCCTCAGTGAAGGAGGTGGGGTTCCTGGCTCAGTTCAGAGCCAGAAAGGGAACAGGAATCTGCTCAATAACCAACTGCTCCAGCCTACACACGCTCCCTGACCACTGCAAAGTGTCCATTTGCTGGCTATTTTGGGATGGGTGTCCACTCTTTCTTTGTATTTCCATGGAAAACAATGAGAAAACTCTTGGCTTCCTCCCCATAATGACTTTTTTTTTTTTTTAAACAACTTTGAAAAGTTGTAAAAACTTTTAATGATGATAAAGCCCCTTCCCTCCCATTTCCAAGCCACTCTAGCTAATTACCAAGCTGCAAATCAACCCATTTCCTGACATGAAACCCCCATTCGGAGAAGGTTCCTCCCAGCTGCTGAGAGCATCCCGAGAGCGACGTGGCYGGGGAATGGCACAGAGGCGCAAGGGGCCCTGACCCATCCTCGCACACGTGACCCAGCAGGCAAAGTCCTCTGCATTCCACTCACAGCTGAAGGGAGAAACCCTGGCCACACACACGTTAGCAGGAATTCTTTCCTGCAACTCCTCTGTTGCTAAGATCTTACCAGAAAAAAATCAAGGCCTGTTGCAAAAGGCCCTGCAGAGGGCAAGCTTGGCACCAAAAATTGGGAATTCATGCAAAATACATAGTTCCCTGCTCTRACTATGAAATCTAATCGAGATAGATCTGTTAACAGCCAGATCTATTAAGGTGTGTGCTTTAGAAAGAAGAAGAAATAGGGTTGAAGTTTAAACAGATGTTTGCTGTGAGATGAAGCAGGGGTAGGAGCTGATCCCCAGCTATTTTAGGTATGCCACTGAACACCTATTTTGCTTGCTCGCCAGCAACTCGTAGCCCTTTGCAGGCAGCCGACCTGCCGCCTCCAGGCGCCCTTGCCAGTGGGCCCCCCTCTTTACAGGGGCCCTCTTTATTCCACCAGCCCGAGTGGCACCTGGGAGAATCACAGAATGCTCAAGGTTGGAAGGAACCTCCAGAGGAAGGGACCAGTCCAACCCCGCCCTGCACACACAGGGCCACCCAAAGCACATGGCACAGGGCTGCATCCAAGCGGGTTTTAAGAGCTCCACAGAAGGAGACTCCACAGCCTCTCTGGGCAGCCTGTTCCAGGACTCTGTCACCGTCACAGTCAAGACATTTTTCYTTAAGTTCCTGTGGAACTTTTGGTGCTTCAGTTTGAAGCCATTTCCTCTAGTCCTATCACTGGCCACCACTGAAAAGAGGCCGCCCCCCTCCTCCTCACTGCCTCCCTTGAGGTATTTATACACGCTGATCAGGTCCCCCCTCAGCCTTCTCTTCTCCAGGCTGAACAGGCCCAGCTCTCTCAGCCTTTSCTCATAGGGCAGATGTTCCTATATTTGTGTTTCATATATCACATTAGCGGCAAAAAATATAATCCCTATCTCTTTTACCATGCATCTCAAAAATGTGATATACACTGCTTGGAAACAAACTTGCTGACTTGCAGCCAGAATTAAYGTTTTATGGCAATTCAAGTTTATTAGAAAGACTACACTGATTGATGCCGAGACATACTGAACTCTGAGGTGAGACTACACATTCTATGAAAAGAAATTTAATAGTGACATGCAAAAACCTCAACCAAAAGGGAACAGGCCATTTCCCAGAGCACAGTTCCAGCAATACTGAGGGGCAACGAAAAATTAAAAGGCAAGTTTAGAAAAGATGCCAGATTTAAAGACTCCTCTGAAGCCGGACAGCTCCCTAATTTGATTTGCCAGTTGTGATTTGGTCTTTGGAGCTGAGTCCACTCACACGGCTTCCTCCCACTGAATCATCCGCGTGTGGCTCACGGTACCTGGCCTTCACTTCCCTCAAAATACCTTTCTCTCAAAATACCTGGCTTTCACTTCCCAGGCCATTGACAAAAATCCTTTCCTGTCCTTAACCTCTGCGCAAAACTCGACAGATCACTCCAGCAGCCAGATKCCGGAAGCTCCTCCCTCCTGCTGATTCCTTGCTTCGGAAAATTCTTTATCAACGTTAAAGCCAGTGACAAAGCAGAACTGGGCACTTGCCGCCCATTCCCTTGGGCAAGCRAAGCCTGTACAGCAGCACCAGCACCACCACCTCTGCTTGTGTCCTTCAGCCTGGTTACACACACGGTTCCTGTTTCCATGGGCATCTAGAAAGAGTAGGCAGGGAGTGGGAGTTTTGGTCTTTTTACAACAGCAATTAAACAGCCAATTGAAATTTCAGTGCAATACCAAAAACACTGCCCAAGTTCAAGCTTATAAAAGGCAGACTTTCTACTTTAACCCCATTTGTCCTTTTATGTCAAATTCAACTTGYGATTTGACATCAAAGTTAAAGTTAAATTCTCCTGAAAAATCTGAGCTACTGTAGCTCAAATGTAGCTCACCTTAGATTATATGACATTTACAGCTTCAAACCACATATATACTTACAGTGGTATCAATCTCTAGGTTTTGAACTTAAAGTAAATGGGAAATCCATCATCATCTCAGAAAACAAGAGCTTTTTTGGCTAGCATCAATAAAATGGTGAGTAGCCCAGTACACTACAGCATGATTCCCATTCTGATTTATTAACATAATCTAACTGAATCCAGAAAGGAAAAGCACAAACACATACAGAGTGTTAGCTGATACGCAATAAAACCTTGAGATTATTAGAATACAAACTATTTAACACAGATACAGGGCAAGCAAATCTAATGATCAACCCAGTCAGGGCACAACATCATCTTCATTCAATGCAAAGAGCCTGATCATAAAAAATGAGATGACATTCAGACTACCACCTCCGAGCAAATAAATTCTAATCATACTTTAACCATGAAAGCATCTAGCAGTTATTGTGATGAGCTTAATGACCAAAACTGCGCTTCCA